AGTGGGAGGGGGCAGTGAGGGGGGAAGTGGGGGGTTGGGGGGGAATCAAAGTTGTTTACAAATTCCCTAAGGCATTTAATTCTTCCAAAACAGTAAATAAGCAGTAATAACCATCTCAATGAATATAAATTGCTGAAAGCATTATAAAATGCCAAAACTTCTATCTCAAGACTATAATATTTAAGTTCAAGATAGACAATGGTTGTACCAGTGGGAAATTAATAAGGAAAAAAATTATTCTGCCTCAAGAAGATAGTTGTGATGGAGAAAGGAAAGATGGAGATTATTCACTCATACCACAAATATTTATTTAGCGTTTACCATATACATATACAAATATTTATTGAGCATGCACCAGACCTTGTGCTAAGTTCCAGGGATAGAATAGTGAGTAAGAAAGACTCTTGTTCTCCTTTAGAAGCTAACATTAAGGAGAAGTCCTACAGAAAAAAATACCTTTATCAATATGTTAGAATCAAACATTCAAAGTCACTCAATAGTAATAGAAGTTAATAGCTGTTCATTTAATGAATAACTAAGTGACTACCATGAGTCAAATACAGTGCCAATGACAGAAGCACATGAAAATTCTTGTCCAGGGCACCTGAGTGGCTCAGTCAGTTGAGCATTCAACTCTGTTTTGGCTGGTCATGATTCCAGGTCTTGAGATGGCCCTACCTTGGGCTGTGGAGCCTGCTTAATATTCTCTCCACCCCCTCTTCCCCTCTCCCCCCTGCTCATGTTTGCTGTCACTTTCTTTTTTTTTTTGAGGATTTTATTTATTCATTTGTCAGAGAGAGAGGGAGAGAGAGCAGAAGCAGGGAGAGTGGCAGGCAGAGGGAGAAGCAGACTCCCCAGTGAGCGGGGAGCCCCAACGATGAAAACGTGGGGCTTGATCCCAGGGTCCTGGGACAAGACTGTCCTAAGTCTGTCCTAAGACAGACGCTTAACCAGCTGAGCCACCCAGCACCCTTGTCGCTCTCAAAGAAAAAAAAAAAAAAAAAAAAAGATATACAATCTGTAATCCATGTGATTTCTTAAAAGGAAGCTTCAAGGTAAACATTTTAAATGAAAAATAGTAGAAGTGCTTTCTTTTGTTTCAGTAATAAATAAGTACTTAATAATTTACAAGTTTGATAGGTTTTTAGTTTTCATGTTATCAAGTTGGCCTATAACTGAAATGTATATATAGCAAATTTTCTTGTATTTTACACTATCCTACTAACACAAGGAGTTACACTTTTGGGGAAAGTACTGAAAACTAAAGGTTATCATTTCATACAAACTGGGTTTCTTTTTCAAAATGCTTTAAAAACTGATAATATACTCTTCCCAACGTTAAAGCTTCTTCTCTGCTTTTCCATGAGAATCAGATTTGCTAAAGCAAAATCTGACCATGACCTCTGACTAATACACAATTAATTGTAAGATACTATTTTATTCAAGGTACTACCCAAGTACTTTTATCTACATTTTTATGTTTTTAATCTCCTAAATTGGTTAATGCACATGAATTCTTAGTCCCTAAGGGAAAGTTTACCTAAGAGTTATTTAACAGCTACAACTGCAGATGCTGTATTTCAAAAACTTCAAAATAAATTGCATCTTAAAAAAAAATGATGAGAAAAATCTTTTCTTCAACTCCTTGACATTTTATTTTCTACTATTTTCAGTAAGATTGCCAAAATGTCCCACTCTTGGGTCATTTATTTTTTCCTAACGCTTACCCTTTGTCAGCCTTCCATCATTTTCAGTACTTCCGAGCTCCCCCCAAATTATTATTATCAGTTCTCTTAACTTCTAACTCATCACTCATAATTACCTGGACCAATGATTCCAACAGAAGCAGAATAGGCCCTTAGGGACATTTTGAAAATTTGTGAGGACCTTTTGGTTGCAATAATAATTTGGATAGGAGGGCAAGTATTTGGTGGATGGGGGACTATTCATCCTAGAAGTTATAAAATGTATGAAGCAACCTTTACAACAAAGAACTACCTGCATCCCTCAGGGTTTTAAAAGATTCTACTGTACACTGAAGTAGGTAAAAAGCTTATTTGTTATCATCTTAGTCTAGAAGTTTATGTAATACAGTATATATAAAATGTATCATTTCACACTGTTTTAAAAAGACTAAATTTTTCTTAAGTACAAATCTTATGTAAATTGAGGGAAGATTCCACTTTATCTAATTTAAAATCCTACCAAAAATTGTTACCAATTTGGGAAAAATCAGTTTGCCAATGACAATGGCCCTTGTGGTATCTGAAACGCCAGTATAATACATTGGAAAAGTGGTATTTGTAGCTGTTACACTCACAGTGGCTCTTTGCACTGGTGTAATACGCCAGCAACTGATTACTTCATTATGTCTCCTAATGTAATCATGTCTGACCATTTACATGCTTAAATAGTAAACATGTTTTTTTCTAATAAAATACTTCACCTTTATGTCTCAATTAGAGCATTACACTGATTTTTAAGTTATTTTATGAACAGATTTCATTGCTAGTCAGTATCATTTTAGGATATTACAGGAGACTTTGAAGAATACTGGTTATAAAAAAAGGGGCACTAGGTTGGACAGGAATCACTAGAATCACTGGCCTACATCTTAGCCTTCATGTGACTGGACTACTAAAGATGTCTCCTAACTGATATCTTAAATTCTACACATATCTTCTTCCAAATGAAGTACCTACAGATGTAAAAGATCACCAACATTACTTCTATCTTCAAAATACCACGGAAGCTCCCAGCTGCCTTGCAAATCAGTCCAGTATGGAGATTTTTACAACTCTCCATAAAGAGACTCCTTCTATCTAACCTAATAATTTATCCAGATTGAACACTCCACTCAGAAAGCCTTATTTCTAAGTCAGCAAATGGAAACGGTATATAGGATTTGGAATCCTAGGTCTGTCACTTATTAGGAGAATGATTCTGGGTAGGTTACTTACCACTTTAAGTCTCTCTCTTTCTTTTTGTAAGATTTTATTTATTTATTTGAGAGAGAGAGAGAAAGCAGGAGTTGGGAGGAGAGAGAGAAGCCAGCTGAGCAGGGAGCCCTACACTGGACTGGGTCCCAGGACCCTGGGATGGTGACCTGAGTGGAAGGCAGACTTTTAACCTGAGCCACCCAAGCATCCCTGAGTCTCCTCATCTCTTAAGTGAGGTGGGTATTAAGGAGGGCACGTATTGCATGGAACACTGGGTGTAGTGCATAAATAATGAATCTTGGGACACTGAAAAAAACTAAATTAAAAAAAGAGAGAGAGAATTAAAAAGGACTTGCCTCACAAGGTTGTGGTAAAGAAGGAATCAGATAAGCAGAAGCTTAGAGCCTGCTATTTCAAACTTTTATCTGTTTTTTTTTTTTTTTAAGATTTTATTTATTTATTTATTTATTTATTTGACAGAGAGAGATCACAAGTAGGCAGAGAGGCAGGCGGAGAGAGGGGGAAGCAGGCTCCCTGCTGAGCAGAGAGCCTGATGCAGGGCTCGATCCCAGGACCCTGGGATCGTGACCTGAGCTGAAGGCAGAGGCTTTAACCCACTGAGCCACCCAGGTGCCCCAATCTGTTTTGTTTTCTTATCTATTCCAAGGTCTTAGGAAAATACGGGGCACTTAGCAGTATTCAAGAAATGTCAGTTGAATGAAAGCATATTGCTTTCAGAAACCTTCCCACGTAAGCCCATCTGACGGCTGCAGAAATCTACCCATTAATCAAGTAATGATAACTGAGTGCTCATAAATTGGGTGCTTCCTTGAAGTAAATCCGCAGTCCCCGCTCTTAGGAAACTTAGAAAAATGTTGGAAAATGAGAGGTCAACATAAAAGATGTCACAATACAGTGTATGAGTGGTCAGCAACTGGTATGGGCAATAAGTGCTATGCATCTAAAGGCAAAGTATATAGCACTGTGGGCTGGCACAGCATGGAATGCCGTGTGAAAAAGAATTAAAACAGCCCTGTCTCTACACTTTCTCCAACTAATCCATTCTTCTTATACAAAGCCTGAGAGAGCTTGGTTTAACAGCCCAATCTATCAGTTCTCAGCTTAAAACTCATCAAAATGGTACCACTGCCCTCAGGCTATCCCAACTCCTTCAGGTGCTTTACCAGATGCTTCATATGTTCTAATTCCCATTAATCTTTGGGAACTAAAATGATTAATAATGTAGCCACTAGCTACACGTGGCTGAACACCTGAAATGTGGCTAGTCCCAAGTGAGATGTGCTGTTATTATAAAACACACACTGGATTTCAAAGACTTGGTACAAAATAGGGGGGAAAAAGGATGTAAAATATCTCAGTAATTTTATATTGATTACATGTCAAATATTGTGGATACACTGGATTAAATAAAAATACACTTAAAATGAAATTCATCTCATTTTTGGATTTCAAATATAACTACAGAAAACTTAAAGACATAAATGAGGCTCTCATTATGTTTCTGTCGAACGCTTTTCCCAGCTCAACAGTTCAACCTGAAAAAACCACCTGGCGATTTCCAACTGGGCCCCTGGTCCTCTGGCCTACGACTCTGTAACTACTACTACTGATGAGTCAAACACTTTTTCCTCTTCCTTCCGCTGACTTCACAGCCACTCATTTTCCATACTTCCGTTTTTAATCGTCCCTTTCTCCAGGACGCCTCCTCTGACCTCACTCCCTACCCCGCAACACTGGACTGGGCTCTCCTCCTCTGAGAATCCCCCCTGGAGTATTTATCACACAGTAGGTGCAATTGTTTGTCTCCCCGCTCGGACCCCCGACAACACTGTGAGCTCCTGGAGGCAAGAGCGACTCTGTGCGCCGGGCACAGAGCACGACTCCGCGGGACGAAGGAGGAGGTGGGACAAAGATGTGAATGCCGGGACCACCGCGGTTCGGGGGCTGAGAGGGTACAAAGGAGTGAGGCAGCGCCCTCGGGAATCCGGGGGTGCCAGCAGGCAGGCCCGCGGAGGGGCGGGAGCAGCCGGCGGGACTCACCAGTCCCTGGTCCACGTCCGTGTCCGGCCGTTTGGTCGCCGGCGGCGAGTACTCGGCGTAGCGCAGACCTTCGCTGGCAGGGGCGACGCCGCCTCGGGCAGCCATGGCAATACGACGCAGCGAGACTCGGGGCGCCGAGGCGTCGCCTACGAGACGGCCGCAGGGACAAACTAGTTAGGCGGTTTACTCGCGGGTTTCGCTGGCGCCGCCCCTGCCTTGCGGGTGGAGGGCAGGTCACCGGGAGATCTCGTTCTCCCCCAGGCTCGGGCCACTCTGTCCCCACGAAGGCGAGGGACAGACTCGGAGCTGAGGCCCCTGGGACGTGGAGGGGTTTTTTGTTTGTTTCTGATCCTCAGGCCCAAAGTCAACGTTGGGCCTCGTGGGCATTGTGTGGTGGAGCCTGGCTCCTCCCCAGCCCTCTTCCCAACAAAGGACCAGGATTTAAGCCCTATGGTCAGATTTTGGTCTCATCAAAGGGCTATCAAGGGGAGACCCGGAGACTCCAACTGCAGTTCTTGAAGGTCCCTGACTCACACCAGACCGTTCTTCCCACCCCAGCTACTGATCATACTTCTCTTTAATGACGCAATCTCCCACCCATGAAAGCGATAGAAGTGGCAGTTTGCTTATTCTATATCCCTTCTCTCCACACAAATGGCTATATTTAAGATGAAACAAAGAAGAAACTTACAAGCAAGTAAATAAACCTCACTCCCCACAAATGGTTTTGTGCTGACTTGGACATAGAAAGACCCATTTTTAAATTAATTTTTAAATAAAATATTTTGGAGCAAAACTTAACCAACAAATGAAGCTGGTGAAGTGTTTTCCAACTCCTGAGCCAACAAGGCAGTGCTTTTGCCCTTTGTATCCATTGTAAGAGACGTGAGTTCTACTGTATGTTCTATAATTTTCTAGGCTTGTGTCCCTGAAATACCCATTTACCTCTCCAAATCTCCTTATCTGTGGAAGGGGAATAATATTTGTCTAACATAATGACTCAGAAAGTTAAAAGGATAAAATGAACAAAAGGGGAGGGGAGAGAAGGATATGGAAGCAATTTGTACAATGCACTTACCATACGCTTACACAGTTACCACCACCGGCCTATTGGCATTTATGGGAGGGAATGTTCACTCTTAACCAGGTTTCAGAGAAGGGTCAGTGGAGGCTTAGCTGCTGAGATGGTCAGTAAAGAATGGGTGAGACATTTTTAGATGGAAGAGGAGGAGGGCTGAAAATTTCAGCTGGAAACAAATGCAAAGAAATGACAAAGGAGGGATGTAAAACTAGACTTAAAAAAAAAAAAAAAACAATCATGCCAAGACTCTTCAGAGACATGATCTTGAGTAAGGGACAGGCAGGGCTAGGAATGGAGAGATAGATAAGGGGCTCTGGGATCAGACTCACAGAAATCCCAAAAATGTGGAGGTATGAGGAAACCTACCACACCACCCTGCCCTAGGTGTCCAAAGGGAAATCTGATTTTTGACAGTCTCCTGTGGTCAAGAGAAAATAAGCAAACCCTAAAAAGAAGTAAGCTATTGAAGATGTTATCACTAGTCCTTAATCAATGGTGCTCCCAGTAGAGAAGTCAAAAAGATTTAAGTTCCCTGGTTAACTTTTTATAAAAGACCAACCCTAAAAGCCCTCAATGGCAACCCTAATGGGACCCCTCTCCTGAGACTTTTTCTGTATTCTCACTCAATAAAACTCTACAGGTTTACTCACTCTCCTTTGTCCATGAGATTCATTCTTCGACTCCATGAGACAAGAACCCAGCTCTCTCACTTCAATCTTATTACAAAAATTAATTTTCATTAGACTGATCCACAACTATCAAGGATGCTGATGAATTAAGCAAATGAATTAGGTTGGGGCTCACAGGTCATTCATTCATTCATCCATTTATTTGTTTGGTAAGTATTTAGCATCTCTTAGGTCTTGCACACTAAACTATGCATTGGACCTACAGGGTCAAGTAAGTAAGATTATTGATTCTTTGCATTCCACACTATGGGAGGGTTCTAGTGTGCCCTAGCAGCTGGGTCCTCACAGTCACCCGCTACCAGCCTAGAGCAAACAAGCAGTTAGAGCAAGACCCAAGTCAGCCCCAGCTCCTCTTAGGGAAGCTGCTGCCCCTGCCCCAGAACTAGAAGGAAGTTTCCATAGCACAAGTCAGGAAAAGAAAGAAAGGAGAATGGGGCAGGGGAGAGAATGGTAACATTCTGGGGAGGTGGGCTCAGCAGGATTGTGCCTCAGCTCAAAACCCAACCTAGTGAAAGCAGATTGCTGACTTGCCCCAGCTCTACTGCTGACTGGTGCATGGAGCATCTGCTCCTACAGCAGGAGTCAGTTTTAAAGAAAACATTCCATAAAGACTATCAGTTCTCAGCTTTTGGTTCTTTGCTAAGGTCACCCTCCCCTCCTAATAAAGGTTGGAAACAAGAGCAATTAAGTCTTGCCTCTCCTCACACAGAGCTCATCCTGATTTAGCTAAACTCACTCCTTTGGTTTCCCTGAGAATGAAGAGGAACGCTTTAGTAAAATCATAGCGGAAGCCACATTAAATTTTCATCAGCTTATTTTTATTAGTTATACCATTTTAGAAACAGGTTACATTATGTTCAATAGACTTTGTGAAAGAAAGGCAGATGTTGGTAATATATCTTAGAAACATCTCAGTAAAAGATGTTTTAAACATCTGTTGTTTAAAAAGACTTTTGGCAAAAAGAAAAAAGAAATTTTTTTTGGCCTCTATGTGCCTCAGTCTCCTTATCAGGAAAATGGGGGGCAATAATGGAGCCCTGGTTGTGAAGAATAAACAAGTTGACTTTTGTAAAGCTCTTAAAACAGTGCTGTATACCTTATAAATTCTCTGATAGTGTTAGTTACTATTTTCTGTATATTACTTATTTCACTTATGTGTTTCCTGTATATATATATATATATATTTTAAGATTTTATTTATTTTATTTGTTAGAGAGAGAGCACGAGAGAGAGAGAACACAAGAGAGTACAGCAGAGGGAGAGGGAGAAGGAGAAGCAGGCACCCTGCCGAACAAGGAGCCGGATGCGGGTCTTGATCCCAGGAGCTTGGGATCATGACCTGAGCCGAAGGCAGCTGCTTAACCAATGGAGCCACCCAGGCGTCCCCTGTATATTTTCTTATTGCTGCCGCCTGCCAACAGTGGTGTTGGCTCCTCAAGTGGTTGTCTTGTCTTTGAAATGATAAAATGTGATTAGACATTATTTAGTGATAAAGTGTAATTGTGAGGGAGAGAAGAAGTTATTTTTATGAAAACTAAATTAAAAGCTTTGGAAAGACTTAATAACAGCATGTTTTATACACACACACACACATATACACACACAAGAGTGTAAGAAGCTGTCAAGTGGTAGGCATAGGAATAAAATAACAATTGAGTCATTCCATTCAGTTTGTTTTTAAAATGTTTTGTCCCCTCCAATTTAAACAAACTGAAATTAGGCATCATATAAGATAGATTATCGATGTGGAAAAAATCTGAGGCAGAGGACCCACATCCAAATGAAGGCCTTGATCCTGTAGACATACATAGAGTGCATGAAGAGATATAGTGTGTGTTTGTGTGGTATTAAAAATCACAGGGAGAGGGAGGAAGGATGCTACTAGAAAAAGTCTAAAAGAGCTCCATATTAATAGGTGCTTGGCTGGCTCATTTGGTAGAGTATATGACTCTTGATCTCAGGGTTGTGAGTTCAAGCCTCACATTGGGTATAGATCTTGCTTAATAAATAAATAAACAAACAAACAAGCAAACAAACAACACTCCTTACTAAGAAATAGTGATTTGTATGTGATGCTTAAAAAAATAATGTTTAGGGGCACCTGGATGGCTCAGTCGGTTAAACGTCTGACTCTTGGTTTCTGCTCAGGTCATAATCTCAGTCATAGGACTGAGCCCTACATTGGGCTCTCAGTGCAGATCCTGCTTCAGATTCTTTCTCCCTCCCCCTCTGCCCATCCTTTCTCCCTCTCTCTCTCAATTAAATAAATAAATAAAATCTTAAAAATATAATGTTTAGGCACATCTGGGAGGCTCAATCATTAAGCATCTGCATTCAGCTCAGATCATGATCCCAGCATCCTGGGATCAAGCCCTGCATCAGGCTCCCTGCTCAGCAGGGGGCCTGCTTCTCCCTCTCCCACTCCCCCTGCTTGTGTTCCCTCTCTCGCTGTATCTCTCTCTGTCAAATAAATAAATAAAATCTTAAAAATAAGATTATAAAAAAATATATATATAATGTTTAAAGTATGTATCATTATTGTTATAATCCCCAATTTAATTAGTTTTTCAGTTAACCCATCAACCACTATGCCGGTATGATCAGAAAAGAGGGCTCTGCTGTGTGGCAAGTGCAGTGGGCATAAAAAAGGATGGTTCTGAAAAGAAAGGAAAAGAGTTAGAGAAGATAGCATTCAAGCTGACTGTGGAAGGATGAATACAGATTGGCTGGGTTGATAAGATTGAGGCAGGCTTAGGGGAACTAGGTATGAGAAAGCACTGCATATGAACAGTACTACAAGTAATTCAGTTTTGCTAAAGTTTAAAGTATACAGAAGAGAATATAGATAGATGAGAGTGGACAGATAACCAGAAAAGGGCCGGATATTAAAGAGCGTTACTTAATAAGAAAAGGCATTTGGAATTGATCTTATAGGTAAAGCCAAGACATCAAAAAAAAATGTTGAATGTAGCAGTGACATGATCAGATCTGCATGCTAGGATCATTCTGCTAGTAATGTGGGCTTGATGGGCCAAAACTAAAGGAGGAAAATCAGCAAGAAAGTTATTTCAGTAGCCTGAGTAAGAAATGTTGGGTGCTAAACTAGGACAGTGGCAGGGACATGGCAAGGAGGAGTGTAGTTACCTTTATTGATTTCCTCCCCACATTCAATTCCTCATAGCCCTACCCAAAGAGGACCCAAGGATTAACTCTGCCCCCTATTCTCAGGACGGGCTCTGCTTAAGCTAAGCCAACCAAGGTATCTCATCATTCTAACCATGGTGATTCGTTTCATGGATGGGCACATAGCTCTTCTTGGACATTGGGGTTACAGAAAATTGGGGTTACATTTGGGGTGCTTCTGGGGAAGGAACTTTTTCTCTAGTTAGCTGGGCATGAACAGAGAAGCATGCTGGGTTTTGATAACTTTTAACTCAAAATAACGTTCATGCCAAAGTGGTCCATCTTGGGGCACTCCACTCTTGTCCCTACAGTGTCATCTAATATCCAGTTCTTATGCAAATTTCTGTTACAAAAAAACTTTTTTTTTCTTTTTTTAATTTAAATTCAATTTATTAACATAATGTATGATTAGTTTCAGAGGAAGAGCTCAGTGACTCATCAGTCTTATATAATACCCAGTGCTCATTACACTGATGTGGTTTTGGAATATTGGTGAGGTTTGGTGGGGTGAGGTCCAGAGCTGACAACCAAAGATTTTTTAAAAAGATTTTTATTTATTTATTTGACGGGGGTTGGGTGGGGACAGAAGCAGGGGAGGTGGGAGAAGGAGAAGCAGGCTTCCTGCTTAGCAGGGAGCCTTGGCATATTTTTGGTGCAAAATGGTGGTTTATTAAAGCACAGGCACAGGGCCCACTGCAGAAAGATGCTACCCCAGGGTCTTGAAGA